CCCCAAAACCCCAAAACCCCAAAACCCCAAAACCCCAAGATAAAGACGAGAAATTGAAATATTTACATAAATAACAATGAAACTTCTCTTATTACTTCTTCTGTTAAAGAGCATTCTTGCCATGACTTACATTAAGAATAATGAACAATGTAATCAATGAGCAAGAAATTCAGAATCAAGGGTGTGTACTGTATTTCCTACATATGATGCATGATGCCAACCAGAAGATCAAAATACTTGTAAATATAACTGGGATTATTATTGTGGAGCAGAAACACATTATATAGCCTCTGGAAAAGCAAGGTAATGCTGCTCAATATAATTATAGATATCTCCGCTGTCCGCCCCATTTACAATGAGGAAAGACAGAATTTAGCATTGATAATGAGAAGACTATAAATTTGAGAGCTAAATCTCTTCCTTCTCAAGGATCATGCGCTTACAATATATACGTAAATACTTACGACATTACCAACTTTGAGTTAAAAAATCCAGAATTCTCAGGAGTAGAGGTCCACATATTCTCTTCTGGTTGGAGCTCTGTTAAATCAGATTTAGTTTATAAAGGAGAATATGATCAGCTAGACGGAGATTCCTCAACAAAGAAGCTCAATGTTGAGGCACTTTCTCATATTTTTATACTTGTATTACCTTCATCAGAAAACAATGGAGAATTTAGTTTGGACTTTAAATCCAATAATAAAGAAGGTTCTCATTTCAACAACAACTATCTTATAACTCTCATTTGTATCCCAACTTTGCTGTTATTATTCGGTGTCTGTTGGTGGCAAGAGATTAGAGAAAATATCAAAAAGAGAAAAGAAAACGAAAATGAGTCTAGCGAGAGCCAAGAGTCAATTATTCAAGATGGAATCCCAATCAACCCAGAAGGCCAACAAGTCTATCATCCTTTCGAAAGGAAGGACATCGGAGAAGGCATGATCGCTTAAGCCCCCTATCAAGCCTATAATTCCTATACTAACACCCCATTCTCCTTAATACCACCCCTTGTCACATTTCCATATTCTCAAGATCTCCCCAATCCCTTAACCCTTCCCTATCCACTCATCTCCAAATCCCATTGTATTCTATTCCTAAATTTCCACTGATCTCCTCACTCAGGGGTTTTGGGGTTTTGGGGTTTTGGGGTTTTGGGG